CCCCAAGAGGGGAAGGTCCGGTCCCATACCTCGGAGATGGCTATAGTCATTTGGTCGGGACAGACTTTGCTATGCAGGCTTATCGAAAGCCTCTTTACGGAGATCSCTTTYTYRAGGTTTCCTACATTTACTCTGGTGGGARAGGACGTATTGAGATATTGATTGGAGCTTCAGGCGATATCATTCTTGCGGAGGAGCTTTATCTCAGGAGCGTCGCAGACGAGGAGATGGCTAGATGCATCTCGACATCAGCTACGTGGTTCCAAAGTCGATAGCCACGCGAGTTCTCAATGACGAGGAGTCCCAGACGACAGGACTTACTCACGAGGGGGTACCACTTATTATCATTGATTGAGGTTCTCTCTTTTCAGTTACTATGATGTACTACAACATTATTATTTATTAGTGACTGCATCCCTCCAATGGTTGCTCCCTGCATACTCTGTGTACTACTCTTCAGTCTCGTATCTCTGGTCATACTCTTGCAGAGTCTGGTTTCTGGTCTTCTCATTTTGTCAGTGTCAATTGCTTTATGATGCATGTTTGTTATTTTTCCTCCTTATTTTATACAGGTTATACTCAAGGCAGCTTGAAGGACTCCTGAATGATAGGGACTCCGGTGACCTTGGGTCTATCCTTTATACGGGGTCAGGCGCAGGCGATAAACCCAAACGCCTCACTCTAAGTCGTGTCGCCGCTGGCAGGAGGGATAACCCTGACTACTCGGCTGTATGACTAAGTGCGACTGCCTCTGAATACACCTCTATTTTTATACCTATCAAAATCCTGCGTGACAGCCTGCCAGTCCTCCAACCCACTGAGCTCGGTCCGAAGAAGGATATCTAACCAGACCCTTGAAGTGGTGGGGGCGCGACAGCGGGCCGAGGCCGAGAATGGCAAGATGGAAGAGAGCGAAAACAAGATCGCTCTACTCCTTTCCCATCTCACGGACCTCCTGGCAACATGCATTACACAGCAGGAGGACATCCACAGCCTCGACGACGCGCTGTCTCAAGTCCACAACCGTCTCCGTCAGCTAGAGCAGCGACCCATCGGCGCCCCCGATGCCAGCTCTTCCAACACCTCCGATCGCCTCGAGGCATTGGAGATTGATGTCGGCTCCCTCAAGGACGGCGTGCAGTTACAGCAAACCACAACGGAATAGTTGGAGCAACGGATCTGTACCGCCGCCAACCACTCGAGCTCGGAACAGCGCGAGACAACTCCAAAGTTCGATGGGGAGGAGATCTTCGACAACTCGACGAAGCAGACCCGATTCCATGGTTCCGCAAGTTTGAGCTCACGTTGCAGCTACACTACGTCAAAGAACACAAGCACCACGCGTACTTATACTCCCGGTCGGGGGGCGCGTGCCAAGCATGGTTGGACAATCTCTTGTCCAAGTACGGAGTGGTAGCTGCCGACTTGGATACGAAGATCAGCTGGGATGATCTGAAGGCGGCGTGGCATAAGCGGTTCCAAGTAGAGCCACCGGAGATCAAGGCAATGGACAAGCTGATGGTCTTCGAACAAGGCACGCTGCCGAGTGTTGACTGGATTGCCGAGTACCAACGCTTGACATCCGTTCCAGACAACCAAATAGGCTTCAAAACCATCAAACACTACCTCATCTCGAGGTCGTGTCTGGCGTTGGGCAATGCCTTGACTCACATCAAGGACACCCTGATGACACCGACAGAACTTTTTGACAAGGCTGCGCAGATTATTGTCACGAACAAGGAGGCCAAGAATCTCCAGCGTTCGTCTGCGCCAGGTCTGAGCAGAGATCAGCATCGGTGGAAAGTGGCCGTGGTCGCGGCGGCAACGCCAAGCGACCAAACTACCGAGGCCGTGTCGGCCAATGAAGAGGGCAGACTCGCAGCCGCCCGGGAAGGTGGCCGCCCCGACAAAGGCCGAGGACGCGGCAAGGCGAAGACCAGGGTTGTCAGGCGGGGGCCCTCGAGGGCAAAGCCGGGGTAGGGGTT